TGCGTCGTTATTTTTCGCTCGATCATAGAAATATAACTCTACAAATTTAATATTTAACGAAATTGTACTAGTTTAACGAAATTGTAATAAATACACCGTACAGTGTGAATTCGTCTAATATTGTAGTAAAAATCTGATTCACTCAAGATCAAGATTCTCGCGTTAGTAAGCGTAACTAAGTTTTATTGAACATTATAATTATCCTTACATAGTTACGGAAGCATACTAATAGTACTGATATTATATATATTCAAGATTTAGGTAGACTTCAATGCTATATCTACTGTACATATTTAAAATTACAAATAAGTACAAATATATGTAGCAATTTAAACTTGTTGTTCTGGTCCTAATTTTTAATAAATATAACCTTTTCAAGCTGCAAAGAAACGAAGCCACTAACCAGATGATTATTATTATAAACCCCGATACATTTGCTGAAAAAAAAATGCACCGTGCGAGCGAGACGCACAAAAAACGCATCATATCTCCGTTCCACTCTGATGCGCGCTGTAACGATTTTGTTAAGATGGTGAAAGTATGTTAAATCTATATTTTTACTGTATCTAACTAGAACGTTTGATAGGGATAACCTACAATTTCTTACCTCAAAAAATATTTTTAAAGGAAAATCAAAAGATGTATTAGCTGTATAAATTGAATATTTTCTAAAAGTTAAATAAACATCCAACAGTCCTGAGTTTGTCATTCATTTTTTTCTAATAAAAAAATAAAATTACGTTGTAACAATTTCTTTTTTCACGGCGCAATAATAAAATACCTATACAAATTTATTTAAGTACATTAATTTTCATTGAAAAATAATGCTCAAGTATACAAAAAGCTACTCTATTATTAAGAATTACTTTTATTACATTAGTGATTAAATATGGCATAAAGTTAAAAACACAGCTGCATCGCGGCCATTTATTACTTCCGTGCGAAATGGATCATGGCGGCATGGAGCTCAAATTGCGCGCCAAATCCCTTAACAATAGACAATAGATGCGTTAAACGAGACGACAGATGTAAACAAACAGACAAACGAAAAGAGCATTGATGGGGTGAGAGTCGTGTGCTTGACAATGTTGATGTAATCACTCGATTTTGAAACCACACTGATCATAGATTATCTGTGAAATTACAGAGTATGTAACGCGACCGACATTGGGGATTACAAACTGATCCATCTAAGATGTTTTTGAGGAAAACGATTATATTACAGCATACTCCTATCTGTTTAAATATTTAACAAGAAAGATAATGTTAAAATGAACATATCACGTGTCAAACCTAAAGTATTACAAATATTATGCGTTACATAGGCACTGATATAATAATAATTTAATCTTTTACACATAAGTAATCTTTGCCTTATCTCCTGCATCTATATAATTTTAGAATTGCTTCTTGAATACATGAATGTTAATATAATTAATAATATAATTAACAGCGTATTTCTAATTGTCATTGCAGTTGTAATTTGGTGTGTTAATTGCGAGGTTTTTAGATTTATGACTTGCGCTTGCGTTGATTTCGATTCGTATTTAGTTACGAATAGGTAGATAAGTTATACCTACTTTAAAGATATTGTAAGGAATATATGTATCAATGTAAATCACGTTACCTAGCATTGTGTTAAGCGCAGGAGGTCCTAGATTCGAATCCTGAGAAAACCTTACATAGTAGTTTTATCGCGGAGGGCATCGACATCTGACCAAATACTTTTCTGTAAATCCAGTTTTCTTGTTTTATATTTAGTTACGTGCATCTAGTCAGACTTCAGTGACCTGTCAAACTGAACCTATTAAGATTTCCCAAGGTTTGAACCCCGGACTAGCGATTACGGGAATGCTTAGCCATAGGTACATTTTACCATTGAGCTACGGTGTCCAATTACAATCCAATTTGTTTTATTTCATGTGAAAACGGATGTTGGCAATTATAAGCCTAAAACTGGTATGCCTAAAGCTATATTTTGAAATCGAAATATCAAATGATTCCGCACTAAGCGTGAGAACAGTGCGAACCCGATTGATAGCGAATTATCCTGCATCGTTAGAAATTTTACCATTAAACTAAATAGGTAATTATTATATCGATAATCATATAATTTTCTATAATAGGCATCGCGTTCTACAGAGCAATTAACACCAACATACATAGCGCGAGATATTGGCAGTACATTCTCTAAATACCAGGGCAAATTCCCGGTATATGACAACTTATTTAGTTGACGGTAAAAAGTCACGCCAAATACATCGCAACAGGTGACCTTGTAACGACGTCTACTATGGACTGTCACTTTTTCTATCATACTAACGCTCTCAATGGCTCCGTGCACACGTCTAACTATTGGCAATTAACATTCCAGCAATTATTTTTCATTATACACGCTCCTCCATTAAATATCACACGCCGTCCAATTATTTAAGACGATGCGGTAGCGATTTTCCATAAATATTTTATTAATCGATCGCATCGGACGCACTTATAAAAACTTTAGGAGTAATCGAGCCACGACCGCGTTCGTAACTTGTTATTCTTTCCACTCTTTTAATTTCTCGCTCCACAGATTATAGCAGTTATTAAAACAACTATGTGTTACGTTATTCTATGTTAATTAAGTTGCTGTACGACAAATGTTCATTAAAATATCACACGTGTGTTTTATCGTATGCTTGATAAGTGCGCGAGTCTCATTAAATCCAGATTGTACGGCAAGACAAGTATTTAATAATGAACGTATACCTGACCACATTAAGAGATAGTAAAGCGTTCATAAAACAGTCGTAAACTTGACTCGGATTATAATTAGATAATATTTGTTTTGATAGCAGCATAGAAGTTAGCGGCAATAAAAACATCGCGTCGGCTGTCAATTTAGGACTCTCGAACGCGATAAGCGGTCACTCGATCGCATCACTACGGCAGTGATGTGCCGTGAATGTATCGATGACAGCTCAGGATGACAGTATCACAACTAAACCGATCGCTCGCCAGAGAGCACTATATCAATCACTCCACAATCGTACCGCATGCCACTTAAATAAATTTATAACATATTAAGTACGTTGAAAATAAACACTTTACCGTTTATGATTTATTCCTTGCGCCGATGAATTATGGACGTTGCTTATTAAAGTGTTCTAGAGCGGGAGGTCCAAATTTTTATCTCTTTTTGTGGCGATTTCACGTGCTACCGCCGCCGATAAACGTTTTATTGGAGTAATTAAAAAGGAGCCATTAGCTAAAGCGTTACATGTGCGTACGCATGATAAATATGACAGCTAACAACGTAATCGCACCGAAATATTGTTACCACTATCACTAATGTAGGGGATACTGATTTTTTAATTTATGTAACAATTAAAGTTATTAAATGTCAACAATCTCATTATAACTAAGTCAATTGAACATAAAATATGAACCGGTCAGTTCTCTGACACTGACACTATCTCGGAGCTATCAAAAGGTCAAACAACTTGCAATATTGATGCTATTAATACAATTTAATTTCAATAATTAGCTCACAATGGTGTCTTTGACTGATAATAAGTCATTATGCGAAAGTGAAACTTGACGTCTACACAAAGACACTTCCGGTGTCTGATATTTTTAAGGCAATAAGAGACAGTTTTTCAATTCCATCCCACCACAACATGTCAACGCCTGTTAGGGTATTGTGGATGAAGGGAAACGTATTGTGGTTTAATAAATTTATAAGAAAATTATATAGCTGTTGATTGTCGGTCTGCCAGATTACTTATTCCGAGCGAATTGTAAAAATGACTCCATTTCAATTTTTTAGGGATTGCATCGTCGGAATAATAGGTGTGCTAACTGCATGTTGACTTGTTGTTAAAACCGCAAAATAGCGTCATTTATGACAATGTGTGGTTTATAGCAATTTGAAGTATCGAAATTATACTGTATTTTGTGATTAGGTTTCTTTCGGCTGGTGTAAAATATTGACTACCACATTCGAGACGCATGTGGTTTTTGTGTTAGAGCTTATTTTTCACTTTTTAAGACTAACGACGACAGACAAGCGACGTTTACACATGTGGATATTCCAGACGAAATGTGACATGTTTCAGAAACAAAATATAAATTCAAATACTGTCTGTAGTTTACGCGAGTATTACACATTTAAATAAAACACTTTAACGGTTTAAAACGCGAGATATATTAGTTAAACTTGTTTACAAATTATTTTTAACAGCCCGACGTTCCGGATGTTTTGCAAGAACCGTTTTAAACCGTTAGTGTTTTATTTAAATGATAAAACTACTATAGTAACATGGCGGATCGGGTAGAAAATGAACCCAACGTATTGCGCACTTGAGTGGTACGTATAATTTTATCAAAATCAATTTAAAACAAATATTGGAAGTTAACATTCGCGCCGAATCGATTGCCATACCTAAATTACCGCTTCGCCGTACAAATGAGACGAAATTGAAACCATACTACAAACAAGCGTGACAATCAATACGAAACTCCGATAACAGATTTACCGTTGCTAATTATACTTTATAGTTATTAAAGGCATTCAAGAAATTGCCGTCGTTGATTTACGCCCGCCATTTTGCGCGCGACATTTTAATATCCGAATGCGTTCGCGCGTTTTTTTTGTATTCTTTTTAATTCTGATGGGTAATGGAGGCAGGTGCGCGGAGCTATAGAGCCAGTCTCGCGAATCATTTTCGTCTCTAAATGGGTTCGTGGATTCGTATTGGGGTTGCATGGATTTTTATTACTTTGTCGTTTCCGTGTTTACTTATTTCCTAGTATAATTGAATGTTATTTAACCGAAAGCTGGAATCGTATTCGGCTTCTGGAACGTTGTTGAACTTCGAGAGAGATAATGAAATGAATTTGGTTGGCATTTGGAAAATGCTGTAGGTATTGTCGCGAAATGTTTTTTTAAATAAATACATTTTCACGAAGTATATGAAAATTTAAAGTCTGTGGTACGTTTATCATCTGTAACTTACCTGTTTGCTAAATACTGCGATGTCTTCGTTAAAGGATTCTGATGAGCAGACGTCTCCGCCTGCTACTCCAGGGTCACGTGGCGTACAAGTTGCTAGTTCGCATTTCTCGAATATCAGCGCCAGAAGAGGGAAGAGGGGGTGCCTGAAAATTTTACGAATTATAACTTTTATTTTTTGTCGTTGATTCGTAAATCGTTGAAAAGTCTTAGGTTCGAATCGTGTAACACAATAGATAGATTCAGTCAAGCAAAACCCAAAAGGCTGATTAGCTACATGCTTCCTTCCTTTGCAAAGTAAGTAATCATTGAAACAGACATAGAAATGTGTCTCCCCCGAGTGGCGGAAGCGATAGCACTGTAAGAAGGCTTTCAAGTAATTGACACAACCCACCACGGCCCACTATAAAGCAAAACGTTAAGATGTCTATCCGGCCGTAATGCGCTATAAAAGCAATAATTGAGGTGCATAGAAGCTGATTAGATGAAGATAGGCTGCACGTGATTCAGATACCATCAATCGCTAAACATCGGATGGTGGCTCTATCCGCGGACAACTCATCGTCACATTTTAAGGACACTTATGACGCAAGGATGTACGAAAATAATAAAAGAAAAACTAGGAAATACTTTTTAGTTTGAAATAAAAAAAAAGTCTTCATCTGTTTTAAGGTACCTACATACAGAAACATTACTAAGAAAAGTGGTAAGCTTAGAGGCATTATTCTAATGATAACAATGACATAAATCCGCGACATGAGAGAATCGTAAAAAAGCAAAACTGAAAATTTTCTCATCCTTTCCATATAGATTTGGTATTGCTATACATACTTATAAATTCATTTGATACTTTAAAAAATCGACTATATTATATAGAGAATGATTAATATTAATTTATAAAACTATTTATTGCGTGGTTGAAGTTGTAGGTATGTTTTTCAATTATCTTTCAGTTCTGCCTGAATATAATGACTAGTGTACCATGACACGACCGTTGCTTTTAAGGTCTGCCAATTACGTAAAAAGCACAGAATACATACATATTGTATGACTGCTATAAAGTAAATAGGCTTTATAAGGCAATAAAGTTGTAATAAATGCGAGCAGCTGATTGTACGAACGATTAACCTTTAAACAATAGCGTTTGAAATTCTATGTGGCTAGCGCATGAGTAATAGAGACTGGGGAGGTTAATATTTGTTAAATCTGTCTTAATCGAATATTAATATATATAACTCCGTTCAACAGTTTCCTTATAAGGAAGTTCATTTATTAAATAAAAATATAAACGAAAATTATATGCACACTTATGAACATATTACTGTATACTTTTATTATATACTATATTAAATATGTATTGGTAAACGTTGAAAATAAAATACGTATTTTACGTCCATTAAAAACCAAATGACATTTGGGTGATAAGGGCCACAGATTATGTCATCGAAACTGTATTTTACTAACGTTTCTAGAAGGCTAATTAGTATTTATTGTCTATGAATACAAAAAATATTCTCTTTGATTCCTCTGGATATAAACTGAGCGTTGAACGCTGTCACTAGCACCACCCAAACGGTTTGACAAGTTTCGATCTGATACAAAGTTCGTGCACCGCCGATCCGCGGATATCACACCTTTATTGTCATATCTACTACAATTTAACTTCATACATTCATTGCCAAGATTATATCAGAAAAAATACCAAAAAATTGCATTCCGACGTTTTCAACTCTGTCTAGAAATTATCACTCTAAATAAAAAATCTATGGTAAGAAAAACCACAAACCAAAAATGTTATAAATAAAGTGACTTTATATAAATATCACTATCTCTATGAACTACCGTATAGCGATAATTCTAATCTAAAATTATAATAATATATATAAAAATATTTGACACGATGATTCTCTGCGGCTTAAGGGAAATTCCCAAGATTATTAAAAAAACAACGTGTTTTTAAATGATACCAAAATCTTACCCCAGTTCTATATCTCTCGTTACAAAAAAAAGATGTCTTATAAGAGGAACATACCCTGATTTGATTGATACAAACCTTATTTAAAAAATACTATAAATACGAATGCACCATTATGGACATGCAAAGCAATCTACGTAATAAGAAATCACTTTACCACCCGACTCACCCGTATATCGCGTCCTTATCACGTTTGTGGACGAGGGGCTCGCCTGGCAACGCATGCGCCGGCGCAGCCGGGGGAGGATAGTGCACTGGGGGTATATGGGGGTGCGTCAGTCGGTGCTCATGGTACATCGCGCCCCCTTCCATGTAGCCTCCGCCGTGAAGGCTTTCGTCGTACTGAAAATTGTAAATACATATTACAAAATATATTTACGCCCAAAGAATGGTTCTCTATCGCATTGAACCGATACCGAGAGCTTGGCAGCCTTTTGTTGAATTCTAACTAGTTCTAACTAACTCCGTTCATTAAAATATTTGTACAACTAAATCTGCCCATCTCTACTTAGAACATGAGAATTAAAGCATCTATCAAATAAAAAAACAATGCTTTAATGCGTTCACGCATTAAGACCTACAATTAAACGAAAAAATCTGAATGAATATTCATAGAAATGGTTAAGTCATTGTAGACGGTATCTACGATCTGGCCATCAATTAAGGCTTCGAATAGGCTTTTAAGAAAGTCAGGATCTTGTACCGAACGCAATTAAAACTAATGGAATATTGTTTTTTTAATTTGTACTTAGATAAATAATTTTATGGTGCACGGGCTCGGTTTTAAATGCGTTATTTTTAGATAAATTATTTTTGATATTGTGGAACTCGTTTTGATGTGTTGTAGTGAAAAAGTTTGATAACGACCAGCATTTGAAATAGTTTAGTCTTTTAATTAAAATGTTTGCTACATTAATTTTATTATTTACATGAAGTTTACGAGTTTAGGACATTTATATTTATTTTGAAGTGTGTATGATTTTCGATATAATAAATGTGGATTATAATAGAGAAATAATCTATATCTATAACCCGTCGTTAAGGGGCCTTTACACCAGTTGTCTTACGATGATACAACGTAAGAATATTCGCAGCATACTGCGGTTAGATAATAAAGAAACTCTGAATTAAATACTGTCTATAGTTTACGGAGTAGTACACATTTAAATAAAACGTTTCGGATGCTTTGAGCAGCCGTGACCACGGCTGCTGCAAAGCATCCGAAACGTCGGGCCGAAGTAAAAATCATTTTCAAATAAGTTTAACTAATATATCGCGTTTTAAACCGTTAAAGTGTTTTATTTAAACTCTGAATTAGTTGGTCTCAGGCCGGCATTTTTACATGGATTTTAGGTTAGGTTACACCGGTTCACCATCAAATAGGATGAGTAAGCTATTTCGGGGATCGATACGACACACCTGTAGCTATGACACAACCTTTCTTAATGACCACTCTTTATAAAAATACGGGGTGATTTTTTAAAAATGATCATTACTAGACAGAACATTTACAAGTAGAATGATATTCCATTTTAGTATTGTGCAGTAGCAATGGACAGCAGGTTTTAAATTTGCAAATAAGTTTTAAAATATCCTCATGAAGCCGGACCTAGTATAAAAGTATGGATAAAGATAAATTTAATAAAAACTTTTAACCAGGAAAATGTGAACACATGTTCTTAATTCCTATTTATTGCATTGTTTTGTATGTATGATGCGGTACGATTGGTTTTTTTTTGGCGTGGGACGTGCTGCGAACAAATTTTGTTACAACCAGTAGCTCATCATACATCTAGACAGGAGTCTAGCCGAACTAATTTTTCCTGGGATTTAGACCCAACGCTCTCTTGTTTGTTCTTAATGCGTTTAATTTGAAATTTTCATATATTTACCCAGTAATCTAAAGCTCGGCAATGCGCAAGCGCAACCCAGTTACAATGAAATATTTCCTTGTAAGTTCAATCGGAGTCATCAAAATAAACATTCATAAATCATTGTTTATATTGTCTACGATATAAACGGCTTTGTTACGGGAATTAACACCTTATTGCTTTGAAATAGCGCCAGCCCAAGCGCAGATGCTCAAATATTGCAATTAATGTTGCCATAAGAAATAAACGCTCTTGGTCATCGCATCTGTAGAAATTAGACCTTATTACAGTGTATTAGCGTCTATTTAAGAATTGTTTAAGTAAACATTAACTTTGTGTTTCAACAAATATGGCGTCAAGTGTACATACTTTTATTGGTGCAGAAACAATGCTATCGACGCCTTAAATCATTTTATAGTACCATTAGTATTGATATTTGATAAATCACTAAAACCATAATAATCTTTATTTCTTATCGAAATATTTCAACAATTATATGCAAAGACAAAATAAATAAATATAATAGACCAAGGAGCTGGACCTCTGTATCATAAAAACGTGTATCTAAACACATATTTCGTAGTTGTCTGTATATATTTATCACTAAATTCAAATAACCCCCATCTTAGGTAAAGGCATTGACCTAAAATAAGTGAGCGAATGCCTACATACCTACTTAGTTATAAAGGTATTTAGTTCGTTACATATGTGTAATCTTGTATGAATCATATTTTGGAGGTATGAGCCGCTCATCTCCAAAGTATGCGGTAAGAATGAGTTCTGCAGGCGCTAAGTCCGTCCCTAAACAAAACTAGCCATTAAATAATACGAAAACACGTAATGAGTGCCTTTTGACGTCTTGAGAGCCGGTTTCAAAATTAAATGATACGTTTCAAAAATGGAATCGCTCCGTCCCGCCTTTTTTCCGAGATAACCTTTATCCCATTTGGTTTGCGAACGAAAAAAAAAATAAAGAACGGTGCGTTTTAATTTTTTTAAATGACATTCTTGCGGTTTTTTCTCGCGGGGAATCTTTGTAATAAGTTTCGGACCGGCTTTTTGCGATCTGTATGGTTCTCGATTTGTTTTGTTTTAAGGGCACGATTAAAGTTTGCGATGTTGCCATGTGGGAAAAGATATTTTTTAATAACTCGCTCCGTAGTCAATCACGGGTTTAGTTATTGACGTTAATCTGTCATGTCAGTCGTAATAATTGGCTCGGTGGGTAAATGGCTCGATTTGAATGCAGGCGCTTTTTAATATGTTTCTGGAGATTAGTAGAGGTTGAGCGGATTTTCTGAGAATTTTGCGGTGTTAGGTATTTTTGCACACTTGCGGTTGGATATTTAACAAATGTTGAAGACTGATCTTTACCTAAGAGAGCACGGTAAGCCGTCGGTCCCGTTTATTATTACTAATTTATTCGCAATATTAGTTAAGGAACTCCAAGCTTCCACCATCCACTAAAACAATGTGGTGGACCGACGCTCAATGTATATGATTACTACTCCAGTGCCCAGCAGTGGGACAGTAGTAGGTTTCAATCCAAATATGTGTTATAAAATTGTTTAAGAACTATCTCTCATGAGCATTTTTCTCCAGAGCGATTAACAACTTAGCGTAGGTAAAAACCTGAATTTTGACAAGTTCCAAATAGAACATAGAATATATAAAAAAAGAGGGTTCTACAGACGTTGGAAAGACGTCACTTGTAAGCGACACGGGGTGTTGCCACCCTTAACGCCTGTCCCTTTCTAACAAGTGGGGATGTCCTATATCTCTCTCGCTCTGTGTCATCTGGCTGGGGCGACCAGTAACAGTGAATAATGTATTGTTGAAAATACCTAATAATTATTATAGAATGGTAGCAATCGTTAGACGTACATATATCCATTGTAATAGTATGGGAATCGCCATGTTTGTAATTAAATTGTTGGTTTTGAATTGATAGTTTGATCTATTTCTTGGAATTTTAGAATTACAGAGCAAAATAGATCTAAGAATAGTTTTTCCTTTGCCTACAATAGCCATTACAAGGGTTCAACTTATGAGCACAACGACTACCTCGAATAAATTAGTAATCATAAACAGGACCGACGGCGTAACGTAGTCTCCTGCTGGCTGGCTGAACTAATATTGAGCCTCACCTGGGATTCGAATAGTGGCCTTCCCTACCAACCGAATGAACTTACCATTAGCATCGAGGCAGGTGTAGTAATGTAACATACGTATAATGTAAGGTGTCTCTTACATAAATCAAAATTTATTAAATGAAGCGCTATCGAATTTTATAACCGAGACCCAACGTGCAACGGAACGGCAATAAAATGTATAACACGAACAAACGACAACTTTACTAATTTTAGTTAGAAATGACGCATTCAAAGACGCATGTAACTAAACCAAGAGAGGCTTAATAAAATTATGTCATAGCAATCTGGATAAATTTGTATATTTGGTAAGAACCTTTGACGCAAGTAACAACTAATATAGATCACTAGTATGCAAATGTTCATTGATTGCCGTATGAAGTATTTTGACGAAAATTTGATTATTCTAAAACGGTTCTTGTAAGCGAATCTAAAAAATAGATATATAGGTACTGCAACGGATTTTTTTTTAGATAATTTAAAGAAAAGTGATTTTTTCATACTTATTTTTCCACTATTGGTTACAGTTTGATGTTTTACAACTTAAAGCCTATACCGATAAAGGGTCAAACCAAACTATTTATTTTTTTTAATACGAACCGGTAGTTCCTGAGATAAGCGCGAACAGCCAAGCTTTATTCAGCTTTATAATATTAGTATAGATTTTTGATGTGTAATCATCAGGGCATATAGGCTCACGGGTTCGAGACTCGTCCGCATCACGTTTTAAAACTTTCTAAGTGCAATCACGCAAGCCATAAAGCACCATTCAAACCGAACCATAAATACTAATAAAACCGTCTCGTTTCGCCCGTTCGAAAATCGAGCACACGACGTCTTAACGACACCTATTAGGGATCTTCTGTCTGGTGTGTTTAATTGAAAAATTGTATCGTTGCAAGTATCCGAGCGGATGCGGGCCCAGACGACTATTATTCCATTTGCCCATCCGCATAGGGACCAACACTAAACACGTGTCAATAAACCGATTTCCGAACGCACCCACCTTAATTAGCCGCGACTTGTGTGAACCGACTTTAGCGCACTACTTCTACTAATACATAAAAGAAATTACAACTATTTAGTACATACACTGGAATATACTAAAAAATCTTTCTGTTTTTAAAGAATTCTCTGAAAGACTCTCCTTCCCCCCCGTGACCACAATTGCTGCAAAACATAACCATAACTGTAGCTAAAATAGTTTTCAAATAAGTTTAACTACTATATATCCCGTTTTAAATCGTTAAAGTTTTATTTACCTCTCCCCATTACTAGAACTGCTGCAAAGCATCCAAAACATCGGGCTGTAGTTTAAATA